GCCTGTGTTGTCTAGGCCTGGTCGATGTAGTTGAGTAATTTTTTGGTGTTGTATAGTGTGTTGGTGTGTGTGTATGTGGTGGTGTGTTGTGTGTTGTTGGTGTGTTGTGTATGTGTGGTGTGTGTGTGGTGTGTGTGTGTGTATGTGTATGTGTTTGTGTGTGTGTGTGTGTGTGTTACCATTTGTCCTAGGCAATGTCGATTGACACTAGGCCTGTTGTATTGTGGTGTGTGTGTGTGTGTGTGTGTGTTGTGTGTGTAGTGTGTGTGTGTGTTGTGTGTGTGTGTGTGTATGGTATGTGTTTGTGTGTGTGTGTGTGTGTTACCATTTTGTCCTAGGCACATGTCGATTAGACACTAGGCCTGTTGTATTTGCAAGTGTGTGTGTGTGTGTTGTGTGTTGTGTGTGGTGTGTGTGTGTGTGTGTGTGTATGTGTATGTGTTGTGTGTGTGTTACCATTTGTCCTAGGCACATGTCGATTAGACACTAGGCCTGTTGTATATGAGTACGTGTGTGTGTGTGTGTGTGTGTGTGTGTGTGTGTGTGTGTGTGTGTGTGTGTGTGTGATGTGTATGTGTTTGTGTGTGTGTGTGTGTGTGTGTGTATGTGTGTGTGTGTGTTGTGTATGTGTTTGTTTGTGTGTGTGTGTGTGTGTGTGTGTGTGTTTGTGTGTGTGTTTATGTGTGTGTGTGTTTGTATGTGTGTTTTTGTGTGTGTGTGTGGTGTTGTATGTGTGTACTCACCTAGTTGTACTCACTTAGTTGAGGTTGCGGGGGTCGAGTCCGAGCTCCTGGCCCCGCCTCTTCACTGATCGCTGCTTAAAGCTATGTATGGATCCTGCCTCCACTACATCGCTTCCCAAACTGTTCCACTTACTGACTACTCTGTGGCTGAAGAAATACTTCCTAACATCCCTGTGATTCATCTGTGTCTTCAACTTCCAACTGTGTCCCCTTGTTACTGTGTCCAATCTCTGGAACATCCTGTCTTTGTCCACCTTGTCAATTCCTCTCAGTATTTTGTATGTCGTTATCATGTCCCCCCTATCTCTCCTGTCCTCCAGTGTCGTCAGGTTGATTTCCCTTAACCTCTCCTCGTAGGACATACCTCTTAGCTCTGGGACTAGTCTTGTTGCAAACCTTTGCACTTTCTCTAGTTTCTTTACGTGCTTGGCTAGGTGTGATGGTGCACCTGTGATGCTAGACTCAAGATCAGGCTTTCAAGCCTTGGTGAAACAGCATAGCGCCAGTGGTAACCGGAGTTCACTGTTTCATTCACAAAGAGACACTGGTATCAAAAGCACTACCTGATCACCTGAACACCATTTTCAAAGGAATGATGAAGGTGGTAAATTACATCAGATCGTCAGCAGTGAACACCACACTGGTCAGAAAATTATACCAGGACGTGGGTTCCGACTTTGAGGTGTTGCTGGTCTACACTTTTGTACGGTGGTTGTCAGCAGGGAATGTAGTCAACAGAATTCTTGAAGAATTAATTCTATTTGTCCAGTCTAAAGGGTAAGAAGGTTTTACAAATATTCTAGAACTGTCAGAATTAGAACTAGCATCCCTTGTCGATATTCTTGGTATCTTGAACAAATTTTAATCTTCAGCTGCAAGGGAAAGGAGCAAATTTGTTCTCTAACCAAGGAATCATCAAGGCTTTTCTTGAGAAATTAGAACTCTGGATAGGAGGAGTCGAAGGTAAAAATTTAAGTCAACTTCCATGTGTGGATGCCATGCTAGGGGAAAAGGAAGCCATTCAGGTGCATATTCTCGAACATTTATATCAGCGATACTTTCCAGAGGTAGACAAGACAAGGGATGGGTTTTCTTTCGTCAGAAATCCATTCATAACAGATGTTGATGGTGTTACAGAGACTGTGCAGGAAGAGTTATTGGACCTGAAAAAAATGATTTGGCAGCTAAAGATGTGTACCAGAGGTCTACAGTGGAAAATTTTTGGGCCAGTATGATTGTTACTTACCCAAATCCGTGAAAACAAGCAGTCTGATTTCTGTTTCCATTTGCATCAACTTACATGTGTAAGAATGGATTTTTTATGTTTGTTGCACATAAAGGTTGTATGAAATATATTTCAGACCAAAATGTTAGGTATCTGGAGTTTACCTGGAGAGAGTTCCGGGGGTCAACGCCCCCGCGGCCCGGTCTGTGACCAGGCCTCCTGGTGGATCAGAGCCTGATCAGCCAGGCTGTTACTGCTGGCTGCACGCAAACCAACGTACGAGCCACAGCCCGGCTGGTCAGGAACCGACTTTAGGTGCTTGTCCAGTGCCAGCTTGAAGACTGCCAGGGGTCTGTTGGTAATCCCCCTTATGTATGCTGGGAGGCAGTTGAACAGTCTCGGGCCCCTGACACTTATTGTATGGTCTCTTAACGTGCCAGTGACACCCCTGCTTTTCATTGGGGGGATGTTGCATCGTCTGCCAAGTCTTTTGCTTTCGTAGTGAGTGATTTTCGTGTGCAAGTTCGGTACTAGTCCCTCTAGGATTTTCCAGGTATATATAATCATGTATCTCTCCCGCCTGCGTTCCAGGGAATACAGGTTCAGGAACCTCAAGCGCTCCCAGTAATTGAGGTGTTTTATCTCCGTTATGCGCGCTGTGAAAGTTCTCTGTACATTTTCTAGGTCAGCAATTTCACCTGCCTTGAAAGGTGCTGTTAGTGTGCAGCAATATTCCAGCCTAGATAGAACAAGTGACCTGAAGAGTGTCATCATGGGCTTGGCCTCCCTAGTTTTGAAGGTTCTCATTATCCATCCTGTCATTTTTCTAGCAGATGCGATTGATACAATGTTATGGTCCTTGAAGGTGATATCCTCCGACATGATCACTCCCAGGTCTATTTTATAGAACTTCTCAAATTTCTGTTTATAAGAAACACATTCCAAATCTAATTGTCAGTTATCTTTGCTTTGCCTTTATATATCATTACTCAAAAAAAATTAGATGGTCGACGATATTTTTATAACTGGGTTGGTGGTCTATGAGCTTTAATGGACCCGCTTTCTTGTGGATGGTTACTCCATAATTGCCAGTGACTTCTTTATCACTGACAATATAATTATGTTTGTAAAATTAATTATATCATAGCTGAGTCTGAGGGAATTTTTGATAATTGCCATGTTGCTGTCGTTTAGGCTACTGTTACAATATCAGCGCTTATGGATTTTTTTTAATGCTATAATATTCAACGTTTCTGGCTATGGGTATTGGTATGCCTGAGGGCATTTCCTGTCCCCTTTCTCTGTCTCTCTCCAGTGAATACATCCTCTGGGATCGTATTACCTCGGACATACTCTTTTTTTCTGCAACTTTGCAATCTTATGTGTTGATTGCAATACGAAAGACTTAGAGCTATTATTTTACTCCCCCCCCGTGCTTGTTTTGTGTATTATATATATATATATATATATATATATATATATATATATATATATATATATATATATTATATATATATAATATATATATATATATATATATATAATATTATATATATATATATATATATTATATGTCGTGCCGAATAGGCAGAACTTGCGATCTTGGCTTAAATAGCAACGCTCATCTTGCCATATAGGACAAGTGAAAATTTGTGTATGCAATAATTTCGCCAAAATCATTCTGAACCTAACGAAAAAAATATATTTCACTGTGTTTGTTTAGTATTAAATTATTGTAAACAAATCTAAAATATATTTAGTTGGGTTAGGCTAAAATAAATTGTTCTTGTTATAATAAGGTTAGGTAAGTTTTCTAAGATTCTTTTGATGCAAAATTATAAATTTTTACGTTAACATTAATGAAAAATATATATATATTTAAACGTATAAGAGAAATTTTTAGAAAGAACTTAATTTTAAATGAGTTCTTGCTAATTGACCAGTTTTACATATTCGGCACGACACACACACACACACACACATTATATATATATATATATATATATATATATATATATATATATATATATATATATATATATATATTATTATATTATATTATTGCTACGTTAATTTCGTTTAGGTTACAATATCAATGCATATTATAATGCTGTAATATTCATCCTTCTGGCTGTTGTGCCTGTGGTCACTTCCGGTACCTTCTCTCTCCCTCTCTCACTGCAGTAAACGCGCTCCCCTGGAACATATTCGCGTGGAAACCTTCCTCTTTTCTGCAACCTGCTGGTGATGTGTTGATTGCAACACGAAAGGCCTAGAGCTATCATTCTACTCCCCCCGTGGTTGTTTTGTGTGTGTATATATATATATATATATATATATATATATATATATATATATATATATATATATATATATATATATATATATATCGTTGAATTTGGCACACTCGAACAGTAATGTTAATTATATTTTTACACATTCAGTGTATTTCATGAAATACTTGTATTATTTACACTTGTAATAGGTGTTAGAAATCAACAGTCAGGTTAGGTTAGGTAAGGTTCGTCAGGAAACAGGACAAATGTTTCCTGACGCGGGTCTTAGTCAGATGATGACCCGCCTTTGGAGCTTTTGGTCATCTGACCGAGGCCTTCCGCTGGCTTACCGGTCCACCCCTTTAAAAATTATGGTCATTTATAACCAGTCTAATCAACAGTTGTTTTTCCTCTCTCACTAAGTACTGTGTTATGTTAGCTTTATGACTCTGTTGTTGTTGATAGTGGAGACAATATGGTGGTACTGATAAGTTATAGATAAAAATAACATATATACTGGTCTAGATAATTATCAAAGAAACGTTTCTCCGCTGAAGAAGAGAAGAAGCTAAATGTTTTATTAAATATCTTGATAAAGTGTATACATGTACCTGTTTCCGTTCATGATTAAATACGTTACTCTTATGACGGATACATCATATTCATTATTATATAAAAAACGTTGAGCAATCCACTTTCTCTTGTATTGTTGAAGTGATTTTCTGCCGAGTTTCATTGAGGTGGTTGCAAGTCATTAATACCCAGTGTGGTTCTCCACAGACAATGAACCAGTGGTTGGTGCTGTCAGATTGAGTCACCAAGCAGCTTTTCACAAGATAGCTGTCAGGCCTCGACGAACACATGGTGCTCCACGCTCTAGACGCCCAACACAGGTTAGTCAAATTTAAAAACATAAAAGGTTGAATTTAAGGTAAAATTATTATACTAATTAGTAATAAATATGATCATCTGAAGATTCACTCCCCCCTCCTTCAAAGTATGAGGGGGGGGGGGCAGTGACGTGATAATGGAAGATGAAGATTAAGATTCTTTACAAAAAAGATTAAGATTCTTTACAAAATACAAGTCACAATACCATTGTTGGAACAATACATGAATAACCCGCACTATGAGTTCAACTGTCAACACTGCGGCCCGGTTCCTGGACCCATTATGTACCTCTATAATCATTTGACTACTGCCCACACCATGGGTATGGGGTACATAAAGATGTTCAACTGAACTATGGAGAGTGCAACTTATGACGACATTTCAGTCCGACTTGGACCATTAGTTAGAGACCATTATCTCCAACTAGTCAATCTCGTAATTGCTAGTTTTGTGTATTAAGATTCCCTATTTCTAAACACCTAAGCTATTGAATCTCAATGAACTTTACTGTAGTCACTACCGAGGTTTGGGATGTATAGATCTAGCCTGTCATACCCTTTACCACTAATGTCGGTATAAAAAAACTCATTAAACGTTGTGACCAGATATAAATATGTAAATAGTTGATTGCCACTGTAACTTGTTCAGCTCTCAAAACTTTGGGGCCCAGCCCCTGGACCCATTATGTATCTCTAATCTTTTGACTACTACCAATACCATGGGTATGGGGTACATAGTAAAGATTTTAAACTACAGCCCCACACATTCCATGTGTCTCTTCTATCCGTATATCGTGTCTGATGCAACAGTTTCAATTTCCCCAACATCGTTAGAGAAGAATTTCCATGAAGCTTGTAAACTACATTATATAACTTGTATACTGTCACCAGTGAGAGAAAGGTAAAGTGGAAATCAGTTTTCTTCCGTGGCATACAGAGTGTAGTAGGATATTGGCAGGATGTCAGCATACCTGTGGGACATGTAAAAAAATCCTTGGAAGGAAATCCAGAGTCACATACAACCTCTGCTTTTCCAAACATCATATCTCTTGTGGCCCGGTGGCCTGGTGGCTAAAGCTCCCGCTTCACACACGGAGGGCCCGGGTTCGATTCCCGGCGGGTGGAAACATTTCGACACGTTTCCTTACACCTGTTGTCCTGTTCACCTAGCAGCAAATAGTACCTGGGTGTTAGTCGACTGGTGTGGGTCGCATCCTGGGGGACAAGATTAAGGACCCCAATGGAAATAAGTTAGACAGTCCTCGATGACGCACTGACTTTCTTGGGTTATCCTGGGTGGCTAACCCTCCGGGGTTAAAAATCCAAACGAAATCTTATCTTTTATCTTAAACTAAACACAGTCTCAAAAAATTACCTCGAACTAGCAAGGTGCTTATGGTTGTGCAATAAAGATATAGAACTTTGGGCAGGTATCAGAAAGGTACTAAGGAGAGTAATAAATGATAAAAATAATCAAGAAAACAAAGATGACTTCTTGGATAGTCTACCAAAAATATATAAAACATGGGAGAAAGAGGAGTGAACCAAAAAATGCAGAATGCCCATACCACAACAGATGACTCGAAACTAGTCACACACTAAAAAAAACACAGGAAACAAAAACATCAGTTAACCCCCTCCCCCACATAGTGCTAACCCAGATCCATCCCCCAGTCATAGCACTAATGCCCACAGCGCTGGTGCTGGCCCAGGCTCAGCCCCCAGCCCCAGTGCTGACTCAGTCCCCAGCCCCAACTTATTGCCAGTCCAGACTCTACTAAGGACCCTACCACAGTCACCACTAACACCTTAAATATACAACCATCATTGCACAAGACCATAGCCCACATTACAAATGTAGGGGAGGAGTCTCCCCTCCTCCTCCTACTGAGGAAAGTAGATGGAATCCAGGATGGGGTAGCCCTGGCTTGGATACTGAGGATTATAGTGCAGTTCCAGAACCTGCAGAAATTGACAACACACCTCAACAATTCTATCCAACCAAAAGTGAAATTGTGCAAATACTGTTTGGGGCATCTTTAAGCATGGAATATCAGGAAAAAATGGGACATGCAACTTTGAGCATCCCAAAAAATGTAGTGACCTCCTGTCTAAAGGAGTGTGTCGTTCTTCTTCCTGTACTTTCTTTCACCCAAAAATGTGTCACTCTTTGGTCCTCCAAAAGCAGTGTTACAACATCAGCTGCCCGGCATACCATCGAAAAGGGACCAGGAGGCACAGACCCCACAAGACAAACAATAGTAGCTATGACAACCCAACTCCAGGTGATTTTTAGTGGCAGGAAACGGAAAAAGAAATTGGAAGGAATTAAAAATAGTCCACCACCTTGGAGCCTTGTTGGACTGGAAGCACAACCAGTGGCCACCCATGGCCCTCCAGAACTACAACTACTGATGCCAATAACAAAACCCCCCAACAAACACAGAATACAACCTCGTTTATATTTGCTAATATACAGGGCCTTAAGCCATCCACCAACAACAAAATACCTTTTATCAGTGGACTTCTAGAGGAGTCTAATGCAATGTTTGCAGCCTTCGCAGAGACCCACACAAAAGATCACTTTGACAGTGAAATATGGATAAATGGGTACAACCTTTTTAGATGCGACAGAAAAAAAACAGGCAACAAGGGGGGGTTGGCCTGTATGTCAAAGAGTCGCTCACTGCACGGAGTTGCTGAACACCACAAATAATGTAGTTGAAGTTCTAGCAATAAAGATCGAGAACCAAAACCTAGTCATTGTGGTTGTATATAAGCCACCAGATGGAACCTCCCAACATTTCAAGGAACACCATACTGCTTGATTTCAACCTAAAGCATACAAAATGGAAGAGTGTAGCGAATAATGTTATAGCAGAAATAATTCCTGGAGGTAGTGCAGATGAAAGGTCACACACACATGAGCTACTAAGTCTCTGCAATAAACACACCTTAAGCCAGCAGATAGTGGAGCCAACAAGACTAGAAAACACACTTGACCTTATCTTCACAAATAATGAGGACCTGGTCTACCTACCTGGAGTCTACCTGGAGGGCATTCCGGGGATCAATGTCCCCGTGGCCCGGTCCACGACCAGGCCTCCCGGTGGATCAGGGCCTGATCAACGAGGCTGTTACTGCTGGCTGCACGTAATCCAATGTACGAACCACAGCCCGGCTGATCCGGCACCGTCTTTATGGTAAGAGACACAACAATATTGAGAACAACTAATTCTGATCACAGTCTAATCGAAGTTCAGACTTACATGCACAGGAATCCTGATCACCAAAATGCATGTATCTGTGAAGGTGTCTTCACAAAATACAATTTCAACAACAAGAACATCAACTGGGACCAGGTAGATCAGTCATAAATGAAACATGTTAGAAAGATATCTTAAATAACATGGATCCAAACCAGTGCCTTGAAAGGATCAACTTCCTGGCAGCTGAAGCATGTTCTAGGCATATTCCCCTAAGAAAGAAGAAGAGCAGGAGTAAACTGGAGAGAGAAAGACGCTCCCTCTACAGAAGACGACGAAGAATCACTGAGCTCCTCAGGAACGCTAAAATATCAGATACATGAAAGGCAGCGTTGACCAGGGAAGTGGAAACTATCGAACTTAAGTTAAAGGACTCTTACAGGAACCAGGAGAGACAGGAGGAGCCTAAAGCTATTAGTGAAATTGAAAGAAATTCAAAATATTTCTTTTCATATGCCAAAAACAAGGCAAATACCACATCTAGTATTGGGCCCTTACTCACACAGATGACAACAAGGAAACGAGTGAAATACTGAAATCCCAGTACGACTCTGTGTTTAGTGAGCCACTAATCAGTCTGAGGATCGACAATCCAAATGATTTCTTCATGAATGAGCCTCAAAACTCTGTCAATGTATGCCAGATTTCCGACTTTGAAAAAGCCATTGACAACATGCCCATGCACTCAGCCCCAGGCCTAGACTCGCTGAACTCTGTGTTCATTAAGAACTGCAAGAAACCCCTCTCACGTGCCCTAAGTATACTATGGAGAAGGAACTTAGACATGGGTGAAATTCCACAGTCACTTAAAACTACGGATAAAACCCCACTCCATGAAGGTGGCAGCAAAGCATTAGCTAAGAACCATAGACCAATAGCTCTAACATCCCACATCATAAAAATCTTTGAAAGAGTGCTAAGCATGATTGCAAACTACCTGGATTCCCAAAAACTGCACAATCCAGGGCAACATGAGTTCAGGGCAGGTCGCTCCTGCCTCTCACAACTACTGGATCACTATGATATGGCCTTGGATGCACTGGAAGAAAAACAGAATGCAGATGTAATACACACAGATTTTGCAAAAGTGTTTGACAAGTGCAATCATGGTGTAATAGCGCACAAAATACGTGTTGAGGAATAACTGGCAAAGTGGGGAGATGGATTTTCAACTTCCTAACCAATCGAACACAGAGTAGTGGTCAACAGAGTTAAATCGGAGGCTGCCATAGTGAAGAGCTCTTCCACAAGGCACAGTACTCGCCCCCATCCTGTTCCTCATCCTCATATCAGACATAGACAGAGATGTAATCCACAGCACCGTATCATCCTTTGCAGATGATACTAGGATCTGCATGAGACTGTCATCTGCTGAGGACACGGTTAACCCCCAAGAAGATATAAACAAAGTTTTCCAGTGGGCAACAGAAAACAATATGATGTTCAATGAAGACAAATTCCAACTACTCCGTTATGGAAAACTGGAGGAGATAATAACTAGAACAGAGTATACTACAAACTCTGGCCATACAATAGAGTGGAAAAATAATGTAAGGGACCTGGGAGTAGTAATGTCTGAGGATTTCACTTACAAGGATCACAACAGTGCCACGATCACAAGTGCAAAGAAAACGATAGGATGGATAATGAGAACGTTCAAAACGAGAGATGCCAAGCCAATGATGATCCTTTTCAAATCACTTGTTCTCTCTAGGCTGGAATACTGCTGTACATTAA